CTCTTCAGTTTTAGGAATGTGATTCTGGATTATTCCGTCTTGAACTCTCACTCACACACGCGCACACACACACACACACACACACACACACCCGTGTCGCTGTGCTTAAATGAGCAGCTTGACATGCATTAGTCGATGTCTAGTTGTCTAGACGACATGAGGGTGAAGAAATGATAGAACTTTCTGAAGGACTTTTGCATGTTTGATATATAATGAATGGTGTTTTGCTTGTATATGTGCATTTACAGACAAAATGAAGTATTAATGCGTGTATACTGCATATCTCTCCATGTACTCCACGTACATTGGAGCATTTTTTTTCTCTCTGTCTGAGTGCTCTTTATGATATTGATCCGTGTGGAAGAGACTCTGACTCCGTCTTGATTGTCAGTCTCTTGAATGCCCTGTTTTCTGCTCTTTCAACCCCACACCAAAAGCTCTCTCTCTCTCTCTCTCTCTCTCTCTCTCTCTCTCTCTCTCTCTCTCTCTCTCTCTCTCTCTCTCTCTCTCTCTCTCCTTCATTCTTTCCATCTTTCATTCAGTGCTGTGATTCACAGACTGAAGAAAATCAGCTGTGAAAGTTAGTGAGTTTGATGTACCTTTTTTTTAAACAAGAAAACGAACTCTTGCTTTACCATCTGCAAAAATAGCAATAATCTCAGGTGATCCTCTAGATAGAAAAGCGTGACAGAAAGGCAATATTTTGCCATTTATGGAATCATATTGTAGAGTTTTATATTTTGCCTAAGATGATTAAAATGTTAACAGTATGTACAGTAGGAACCGTTCCTAAGGCTATATCTATCCATCCATACATACATCCATCCGTATGTCAATCTATCCATATGTCTATCCATCCATCCATCCATCCGTATGTCATTCTATCCATCCATCCATCCATCCATCCATGTGTCTATCTATCTATCCATCCATCCATCCATCCATCAATTTATTTTTCCATCTATCTATCTATCTATCTATCTATCTATCTATCTATCTGTCTGTCTGTCTGTCTGTCTGTCATCTTTCTTTCAGTCTTTCTTTATTTCTGTCTATCCACCTTTTTCTGCTCTAAACAATGCGCGCTGCCATTACGACGACGCCGGTTGTCAACTTCCGGTTCGAGTCTGGTCAATGCTGTCTTGCCCTGTGTTTTAGATTGTGTCATACCCACATCGCTAAACTAAATCAAAAAAAAAAAAAAACATTCATCAAATGTGATCTGATCACGTTATTTTATTACATCACAGATAAAAACGTTTTTCTTTGCTTCATAACTTCCAAAGGACAGCTGATGCAAGACTGCACGATTTCCCCTAATCCAGCAAACATCCGACAGTCTCTATCACCACGACTGCTGCAGAATAACACACTTTAAAAAAAATATATTGTTGGTTTAACTTAAAGTAAGTCACCTGGGTTTCTGTAAAATTTTAAGTTGATTGAACTGGAAAAAGTGAGTTAATACAATGAAGTAGATCAATTTAACCATCAGAAACTCAAAATAATAAGTTATCTCAACTAAATAAATTATTATAAAGTTGATTTGACAAAAGAAAATATGTTGTGATAACAAATCTTGAAAATATGTTTTACAGCGCAGGACTATAAGGTTAGGCTGGTTAACCCTTTAATGTCTATATATTTCTCAGGCCTGTGAGGTTACGCATTCGCCGAGTTTCATTCATGAGACCAAAATCCAGTTTGCGCGCTGTCGCCTCCGTCATGATCATCTATTGTTTATATACTTCTTATTTATTAAAACCAGGCAATTGGTTGATGAAACATTGATTGAAATTAAGATACAATTAGTGAAAAACGAAATTCACTTTAAAGAATGGTTTCTTTGTGGTTTTTCTTTAAGATCTCTGAAAGTTTTAAAGTCGCTTTCAGAACGGTCATGTCCGTGAATATAAAACGCATCATATTTTTCTAATGTTTGGACCACTGATCTATATAATTTATCATTCTAGATGAGTGGTCTGGACTAGAGTGCTAGCATTCTATCTAAACAAATACTTCAACAGGAAGTAGAAAACTGTCAAGTCAGTTAAATCCGCTATGAATCATGGGGAAAAAAAACAGGCGCAGAAAAAGGTGGATAGTGTCTGTAAAAAAAAACAAATTTCACATTTACATGTTCTATAAAGCAAAACTTTAAAAAAAATTTGCTCTAGTAAACACAAAATGTCCGAGAACTAGCTCTGCTGGCGTTTGGTAGCCGGACAGTCTCGAGTGAGGAATACGCCATTGTGTTTTAGCACCAGTTTAATTGGATGCGGGTGACAGGAGAATGGAGGAAGGAATTGTCTATGTGGCTGTGTCTAATGGATTCAGAGCTAATTAAGTTCACACAAGAGATAGAGGCTTCCCACCATCAGAGGGATGTAAGGGCACAATGTGTGTGTGTGTGTGTGTGTTTGTGGGTTCACCACCCGCACGCATGTGAACGCGCTGAGCAGTAAACACAAGTTTGTTTCTAATCACACCATTGTCTCCATTCTGCATGAGAGCATCAGAGGTGAGCAGACACTCCTGTGGGCCTTTCTATCTGAGTGTGTGTGTGTTTTGTTTTTGTTTTTTTTGGGATTATTCCCTTTCACGCCCTCTCCTATTTTCCCTCAATATCAGCCTCTGTTTCCTCCATTCTAATCTCCGTGTCTGTCTTCCTCTCCCTCCGTTTCTCAGTGTGCACACAGACCTACTCGCCCTCGCTTTGTTCGCCTATTTTACGGTGTGTTTGTGGTGTTTTTATCTGAGGACGCGAGGACAACAGGGGGCCTAATAAAAGAACAGGATGTTTTGCTGGGTTTAAGACAGAACATATTTAGACTTGAAATGAATATATTAAAAGTGTTAGAGTAAGAAAGGGGGAAGAGAGCAAAAACAGGTCACAAATACACACACGTCTACAGTAGAGATAGAGAGTTTGAAAGACGTCTCCTGCATCTGTCAATCAATACATAGAGGGAAATAAGAAAATGTAATTGGAGAGTTAATAAAAACTTACTAGTGAAAATATCTATCTATCCGTCCGTCCGTCCATCCGTCTGTCATTCTATTTATTATTCTATCTCTATATTGTATTTTCTCTATCTGTGTCATTTATCTATCATCATATAACATTGTTCAATCATTCTATCTATATCTATTTTGTTCTTTATATCTGTGTTTAGTCTATCTATCATTTCTATTTGTCAGTCGGTCAGTTTATCTATCGATCTGTCTTTCAATATATTGTTCCATCTATCATTCTATCTATCTCTCTATCTATCGTTCAATAATTGTCTTATTAGGGCTGGGTATTGAGACAAATTTCACAATTCGATTTGATTTCGATTCACAAGCTTACAATTCGATTTCGATTACGATTCGATTCGATTCAATATCGATTATTTTGGATATCAGTTACAATAAATGGCAATTTTTCTCAAGGGAATCAAATCTCTTAAATGCTGTAAACTATGGTCTATGTCTAGTTGTAGCCTACTAGGCTTCATTAGCCTAATATGAAGGTTTTGTAGCTATACAGACACTTAAATTACACTTTTATTTATTTTTATAATAAGAAGATTATATAAACATTTAAATGGTGGCTGTCATAAAAACTTGCCAGATTTATTCAAATATGCATTAAATATTGAAGCACACTAACGAGTGTGGACTAATGAGTTTATGTGGAGTTTTCTGAGGTAAATATGACGATACATGCATTGATTTAACTGTTGTTTAACTGACGTCTTTCCACGGTTGAAACGCTGATTGAGTGAATCAATGTGACATGATAGGGATTTCGATAAGTTGTACTCGATCTTTTAACACACTTTCAGATGCTCATTCATGTTTATTTCGCGCTGTGGCTGGTATTATTAACCCGGAAGAGAGATCAGCGCTGCTGCTTCTCTGGAGCTCCGCCAGAGCGATCTCACGCCACAGCGCCAAAACGCTATTTATGTTTTTGAATTTCTAAAGAAAATGGACGTAATTTGAAATTTGAGACTTTGTTTCATATCAATAGTAACAAAGGACAAAGATTATTGCGATTTGTTGGATGCGCGCAGCTGCGATATGTCTCATTCATTCAAATGAAACATGACTAATCGATTCTTGAGATTTAAGAATCGATATCGGTTTGTAAAAATGAGAATCGATTAATATCGAGAAATTGATATTTATTACCCAACCCTATTGTCTATTGTTTTTTCTATCTATCTTTCTTTAGTTTTATCTATGTATAGCTTTATTTGTATCAGAATGTGTCTGATTAATGTTTTTCACAGATGCAGTTTCACTGAAAGACGCTCATCACTCAATCATTCATTTCATTTCATTTTGTAAAAGTGTTCTGGTTTGATCATGATTGAAATAAATGTATCAAGTGAAACTTGGAATCACATAGATCAAAAGTGTGTGCCTGTGACAGTAACCGTGTGTCTGTCCAGTCATGCATGATAGCCCATGTCTGTGTGTGTTTATATGGGCGAATAAGTCCAAAATCCTTCTACTACATCCTACTTTAGAAACGTTTTAGATTCGTGTGTGTTTGTGTGTGTGTTCACTCCTGCTGCATCTCGGAGCACCTGACTTTATCAGTTTATCTGCTTTAATGAAATCGACTGAGATGCAGGTGGTGATTGAAGGTGTCAAGGGGTTCGAAAAGTGAACGTATGTGTGTCTGTGTAATAGATCTCCATGGCAACAGTCAATGGGAGCGAGTCACTTTGATGGAATGGCCTCTGTTGGGTAGATTGGGAAATCAAATTGAGGCAGTTACTATAGCGACGCTCCATTGCAGCTGCGTCTGCATCTGTCTCGGTGTGTGTGAGTGTGTGTTGTTATGTCTTAAAGAGTAAGAGCTTATTAGTGTCAAAAGTGACCTAACGACCAGCTATTTACTCTCAAACAAAGGCTCCAACCATCATACTCAGATAAAAATCATGTAGCCTCACAAAGTGACTCAAATATTCTTGAGTTTTCGCTTACACAACCCTGTTTTTCAGACATCCGTGACCGCAGGAAGAAACCTGTCATGCTCTTCATTCACGGTGGCTCTTATATGGAAGGAACCGGAAACATGTTTGATGCCAGCGTGCTTGCGGCATATGGCAATGTCATCGTAGTCACCATGAACTATAGGCTGGGAGTTCTGGGTAAGTGCACTTCAATTTCTTCCCCATTAACGCTTTATGAAGGTCTGGAAGCACACGAGGAGATTTAAGGAGGATCATTAAGGGTGTGTTCACACTTGTCATGTTTGGTTGGATTAAAACGAACCCTTAATAAGTGTGAACACCAATATCTGAACCCTGGTGCCACCAAACAAGCGGACCGAGGCGCTGGAAAGATGAGTCTCAGTCCACTTTCAAACTAATTCTGGTGCGGTTCAACTTAAACTTAAATGCAACACGGACCAAAGTCACGTAAACGAACCAAAAACAGGACGTGATGTCACAAGATGTGAACCTTAAAGAACAGAATGCTCAAGCACACCCGTTTTGATGTTGCCCATCACAGTTCGGGACAGGCATCAGAAGCGTGTGTGACGAAGGGATTCTTGTCGCTATTTTGACTTCTTTACATATTTTACAAGTTCTTCGTGAGTTCTCAGAGTTGGTTTGGAAGAGGACTGAGATTAATTTTTTAGTGTTTGGTGGCACCAGGGTTCGGATGGAAACGCTCACAGTTATTGAAATAAACCGCACTAACCTGCAATCGCACCAGGGTTCGTTTTAAATCAACCACACATGCCAAGAGTGAGTAATCCTTTGTGATTATCAGGCTGTTTATGTATGTATACTTTTTTTAAATAATTCGTGCACACATCTGTGGGTTTCAGTTTAATGAATCAGTTCATTGGGACTGTTCATGTGAATCAAGTGGTTCATGATGTGTGAATCAGTTTATTTGGGACTGTTTATGTGAATCAAGTGGTTCATGATGTGTTAATCAGTTTATTGGGACTGTTAATATGAATCAAGTGGTTCATGATGTGTGAATCAATTCATGTATAACAAGCATAACATTTGTCTAAACGAACCAATTCACTGATTCATTTGAGGGAAAATGTACCATAGTACGGGCGATGACTAGAAATGACTGAGGGAATGAAATGGGGAAATATATTGATTTGAACCCGGTATATTTTGGCAAGGCAATGTTTTCAACTACAACATTAATGTGCAGTCACTTTTAGCAGCCTGGTCAAGACAGTTAACTTTTAGTTAATGGTTAAATCTGGGTGAATTGCGTCATTGATTTTCTATAGAAAAGAGCATTACTGAATCCCACAGTGCACCAACTACAGGCTAAAGGTCAATTTCTGCTTAATTGCTCTTAATATATGAGTCACTTAAAGCGAATCCTGGATCAGAATAGCTCTTCGGGGAACCTACCTGCTATTGTCATTAGTCAGAGTTTCTTCATTAGTTTTGGCCGTAAAGCTGAATGCGAATAGTTAGGGAAGTAGTCTGGGGTAATATGAGGTCTTACAAGAGCGCTTTTGAGTTATAAGCGTTAAATCCTTTCTCATTTCCTGTCTATCTCTCTTTCTTTTATTATTTTACAAGAGTAAAATATTGAAGAGTGATATATTCATGCAGATTAGCGTTGGCTCTGGCAGTTTTATTGGGCTGTGGCAGTTAGAAATATATTTGTCCATTTCTTATTTTAACACTGCCCAGAGCGGGGATAAGGCGGCCTTTAGATTTTTGCTTAATCTAAAAATGAAAAAGGCGAAAAGGGAATAAAAAAGAAAGGCACTTGCGATGTTCAAAGCATTACTACTAAAGTGCAAAATAGTTGGTGCCAGCTACCCAGATCCAGCTGAAGGGACGCAGGCTGATTCAGTTCTTCGAAGGCCCTGGGAGTGGCTTTTTCTGGCGTATTAGTGCCTTATGTGCTTGGATTCGAAGCTTAGCGCAGATAGTGAAGCTTTGACATGTCAGCCTCTCGGCTCAGTTCTTTCTGCCATGCAAAAGAGGGTGCTTATATTTGTTTGTGAATGTCTTTCTCTCCCTGACTGTTTGTCTTCTCATAGACTCAACACTTTCCCCCTCTAGATATAATGCAAAGCGCAAGGAATTTAAATTGAGGCAGAGAGAGTATGCGTTTCTAAATTATTGATGAAAAATGTCTCTCTGGTGTGATGAGCAGTGAAGACGCAGTGGCCTCGGCGATGACCCGTCAATTCAATGATCTCCTGGTATGCTATTTTAAAGGCTCTTTGGTATTGGAGTCTCCTACAATAGGGTTACATGCATCCAAGGTCAAAAAACACTTGATTTTCTCATAATATACATTGTACATAACCGCATTTCTCAAAGATTTAGTCTCTCTAAACCCCTCCTTTCTGAGAGTTTACTCTGCTCTGATTGGCCAGACGGCCCAGTCTGTTGTGATTGATCTATTATGCTATTTTAAAGGTTCTTGATTTTGTTTTAGAGTCTCCTACAATAGGTTTACATGCATCCAAGGTCAAAAAATAATTACCGTATCGATTCCCACGTGAGTCACACACATAAACAAACAATAAACACACACACACACACACACACACACACACATATATATATATATGTAAAATCATATATATAATAATTTGGGGGCTCGTCCGGGATTTTATCCTGGGACCTTTCGCACCAGTCATACCCCTAGACCTAAAATAAAAACATTGTTAGGTTTACATGCATCCAAGGTCAAAAAACGATTACTGTATCGATATTATTGTAGTTTATCACAGTGGATTCTCAGCTCTGAAAACAGAGTCCTCTCGACATGAACAACACAAACCAAACTCTTCCAATCTCAGCTACAATGACAGTGTTCGAAGTCAAAGTAGACGCTGTTTACGGGCAGCCAGTGAACACCATAGACTGGCTTTATGCAAATGAGTTATATTGTTACATAGGTTTGTAAGAGGAAGTGAGACTGGAATTACTGACGACTCATTTCGTCAGTGCAGAATCGATTATTTCTTTTAAAAGACAATCAAGTGGGTCACTTTTTGTGGAACAGTTCAAATTAGGTGATTCTCTTTGTATGATAACTTTTTCCGTTCTTTTCACTTTCTGTTCATTAAAAATTAACATTGAAGATTGATAATAATCAGAATAAATCAGCACATTAGAATGATTTCTGAAGGATCATGTGGCAATGAAGACTGGAGTAGTGATGCTGAAATTCAGCTTAATAAATGGCTTTGTATAAGAGTTGTTTCAAAAACATTCAAAAATCTTTGACCTGACATTTTTGAATGGTGGTGTTCATAAAGATATTTGTGGAGGGCTGTTTCACCACTGAGAAATCCCTCATAGCTTTCTCAGTAGTGTTGCTAAGCACTTTTTCAAAAGGCAAGCTTTAATTGAAGTCATTATGTTTGAGTCATTCCATACCTGGGCCACAAGGACACCTGATGCATGCTAGTCTCCACACTGGAGAAATGTGTGTGTGTGTGTGTGTGTGTGTGTGTGTGTGTGTGTGCTGCAGGATGTACAGCAGCAGTGACAGGACACAATTAACATCAGCACATCTCATCATGCACTCCACTATCGGCTTCTATCACGAGCCTGCAGTATGAGCTCTGAGGCGAAGGAACTGCAGATCCTCGATCAGCTCGAATGAGAATGAGTGACGTGACTCAAACTATAATTTAGATAAAACCATTGGCCTCCTCATGGGCTGTCACTCGTTCAGACACAGATGCTTTGCTCATTAGAGTTATGGGTTCAATTTACAGTCACACCACATCCAATTGAAACTAATTTTTAGACTTTAGGAAGATGCATAATTCATACCTTTAAAGGTTGTATATTGCACAGGTCATCTGAAGGTTGTGTAGGTCATTTGAAGATTTTATAAGCCATTGGAATGTATTTTTAATACACTAAGATTTCAATTATTTAGTAAAATTCAATTAAATTTAATTGAATAATTTTTACAAATTATTCATATTAAAGATTAAGAATTTTAAATGAGTAAAAAAAAACTAGTGCTCAATAAAACAGTTTGTATAAATCTGAATGGATTTGAATTTATGGATACAAATACCAAATACGCAAATCTTAAAAAAAAAAAAGCTTATTTTTTGGTATTTCCTTTTTTATAGATGCCAAAGATCTTATTTTACAGACATTGGGTCTCATTCACTTATCACGTGTGCACACGGATTTATGTGTGAAATCTGTTCACAAACAAATACCACGTGTACACACAGATTTGTGTGTGAATCTGTTCACAAAAAAATTATGATTCATCAATAACTTTCATTCAACAAATAAAATCTAAGGAATTAATTAGGAGCAACTGAAACCACACATGTGCAAAAATCACATACTCTGCGTGGTCTTATGAATGTCTTAAGATGCAAGTTTATTCATATTTCATCCTAAATATTTTTCATTGCTTTTTATACACAAACATTTACTGTATATACAGTAAAAGAATAAGAAAAGGCGTACGTGTTATAGCTCATCTGCATAAAGACGGAGATGCATATGTTTGTAATGTCTGTATAAAAGGTGCGTATAGTGTTTGAAGCACTCTTGGCGTTGCTCGAGGATCTTACTGTGTGTTTTCAGGCGAGAACACATCTTTAAATGTTTGCTGAGAGTGACGAGAGGAAACCATGTGCGGAAAGCCCTTATATGGACATGGTTTGGGCGTGTTTTTTATGCAAATTTATAACAGTGCGTCACTTAGAATACGATGATTAGAACGATGTTTACAAATCCATGTGCATACGCACGTGTTGTGAATTAGATGAACTTTCCTAAATATGAATAATCCATGCAATTATTGTGTTATGGCCCATCACAAACTTTGAATTAATAAATGTTCACTCTATTCTGATATATATCTTAGATAGCTGCATTCACATTGCATAGGCAGCATTTTTAAATTACAATGAATCAATAAAAAAGTAATTGTTAACACTTACAAAAAAGTTTCAATTTATTAAGATTAGGAAAAACATAAGGTATGGTGAATTAGAATTTAAACTTGGTTAATGTTCATTCATTTTACATTTTCTAATATATTTTATATATATATATATATATATATTGTATTAGGTAATGTAATATAAATGAACTTGAACTAAAACACACACACACACACACACACATATATACTGTATATGTAAAATCCCGGACGA